AACTTAGTAAAATAATAAGCAATTTAAAATACATCTGATTGCTCAGATATTGTATTTAATTCTCCAAAAACAATCTCTACAAAAATAGTTTGTGTATTATAAGAGGGATACAAAAGATAGCCAAAATTTTTATTCAAATTATGGCAGGCCCAAATAGGTGCATCATAGTGTATCCCAACACCTTATAATAGCTAACAGGCAAAGATAAATTACTTACTTTTCTCTTTCTCTTTTAGATTCTCTTAAATATAATACAGGTTTGTCATTTTAGCAGTGTTGGAAGTTTCTAAATTCATTATAGTTCGTTGTTTACTTCATATATACCAATTTTGAGAAAGGCTTTTTTCGTCGGGTTGATTTTCAAATCGAATTGTCTTTACCACTTTCTATATTTGACATTATAAAAAGAAAAACTTAGTAAAATAATAAGCAATTTAAAATACATCTGATTGCTTAGATATTGTATTTAATTCTCCAAAAACAATCTCCATAAAAATAGTTTGTGTATTATAAGGAGATACAAAAGATAGCCAAAATTTTTATTCAAATTATGGCAGGCTCAAATAGGTGCATCATAGTATATTCCAACACCTTATAATAGCCAACAGGCACATGAATTCAAAGATAAATTACTTACTTTTCTCTTTCTCTTTTAGATTCACTTAAATATAATACAGGTTCATCATTTTAGCAGCATTGGAAATTTCCAAATTTGTTATAGTTCGTTGTTTACTTCATATATACCAATTTTGAGAAAGGCTTTTTTCGTCAGATTGATTTTCAAATTGAATCGTCTTTACCACTTTCTATATTTGACATCATAAAAAGAAAAACTTAGTAAAATAATAAGCAATTTAAAATACATCTGATTGCTCAGATATTGTATTTAATTCTCCAAAAACAATCTCCACAAAAATAGTTTGTATATTATAAGAGGGATACAAAAGATAGCCAAAATTTTTATTCAAATTACGGCAGGCTCAAATAGGTACATCATAGTGTATCCCAACACCTTATAATAGCCAATAGGCACATGAATTCAAAGATAAATTACTTACTTTTCTCTTTCTCTTTTAGATTCCCTTAAATATAATACAGGTTCATCATTTTAGCAGCATTGGAAGTTTCTAAATTTGTTATAGTTCGTCATTTACTTTATATATACCAATTTCAAGAAAGGCTTTTTTTGTCAGGTTAATTTTTAAATTGAATCATCTTTACCACTTTCTATATTTGATATCATAAAAAAAAAACTTTGTAAAATAATAAGCAATTTAAAATACATCTGATTGCTCAGATATTGTATTTAATTCTCCAAAAACAATCTCCATAAAAATAGTTTTATATTACAAGGAGGATACAAAAGATAGCCAAAATTTTTATTCAAATTATAGCAGGCCCAAATAGATGTATCATAGTGTATCCCAACACCTTATAATAGCCAACAGGCACATGAATTCAAAAATAAGTTACTTACTTTTCTCTTTTAGATTCTTTTAAATATAATACAGGTTCATCATTTTAGCAGTGTTAGAAGTTTCTAAATTCGGTATAGTTTGTCATTTACTTCATATATACCAATTTCGAGAAAGGCTTTTTTCGTCGGTTTGATTTTCAAATCAAATCATCTTTACCACTTTCTATATTTGACATTATAAAAAGAAAAAATTAGTAAAATAATAAGCAATTTAAAATACATCTAATTGCTCAGATATTGTATTTAATTCTCCAAAAACAATCTTCACAAAAATTGTTTGTGTATTATAAGGAGGGTACAAAAGATAGCCAAAATTTTTATTCAAATTATGGCAGGCCCAAATAGGTGCATCATAGATCCCAACACCTTATAATAGCCAACAGGTGCATAAATTCAAAGATAAATTACTTACTTTCTCTTTTAGATTCTCTTAAAAATGGTACAGGTTCATCATTTCTAGCAGCGTTGTAAGTTTCTAAATCCGGTTTAAATCATCTATAGTGGTGTGAAGTGAATTGGCCCATAGTCCACTCAATGAATCTCAAACTTCTTTACTGGAAATAAAACTTTTTCCTAGTATAAAATCATTTTTTTTTATCCAGTGACCTTTATATGCAAAAAAGATATTATATAAAGATTATTTTGACTTTAATAAAAAGAAATAAACTTTCGTTTATTATACATACGGAGCAGTGTTTAAAATTGGCATGCACAAGATGCACATGTGCACGAGTTTTTTTTGAATTTTTAAAAAATTTATTAAGTGTGCACATAAAATTTTCCAAAAAAAGATGAAAAAAGATGCACAAAATACATTTGTGCACATAATTTTTACTTTGAATTTTAAACACTGATATGGAGTAACAAGTTGAAATTTTAAACATACGTGCAAACAGATAAAAAATTTCCAAATAATGTTTCTTATATAAAATTTATCAGAAAGAAATGATTATGAAAAGTTTTTCTTGTGAATTTTTGGTCGACGTGTGCGCACAATCAAAACTATTGTTTAGGTTTTTTTTTTATCGTTTTATGTGCAAGTTTTATACATAGTAGTACTAGGTTAATGCGTAGCATTGTGTTCGGAGCCTATTATAATTTTGTAAAAACGCGTTTGTTTTTGTAAAACCAAAGTACAAATTTAGACACGCGTGCGGACAGACAACAAAATAGTAACTTTTAATGCATCAATAACGTAATTTTGGTATCACCATACGTAAACATTAAATGTCCTCCGGACAATTATATCAATTATTTTTGCCGTCACATGGTCGTTAATTCGACGCGTACGTACGTACGTACGCACTGTTTTAAAACTATTTAATTAATTAAAAATTTTAAACTATAGCTTTTTTTGCTATTATACCAATCGTTTGATGCAAAAATTCAAAATTTCGGATCCTAATCTTCGCTAGTGAATTTTATCGATTTTGTTGATCTATGCACAAATCTGCACTACAATACTTAGATCACTGATTTAGGGAGCACCCCAAATTTTACGGTATTGTTATTTACATTCGTGATTTCTTCGAACTGGTACTACGTGTATTGAAACGAGAACTCTTTAAGCTATATCAGATATATTATGGTTTGTAATGTTTATTGTACTTTAAATTTTATTGTACGCTTTATACTTCTGCAACCCAAAATTGATAGAATTTTATTTTACACTGTTAAATTAATTAACTAATCAAGTCGAAGCTGGTGTATCTGTTTCAGACTTCGAATTATGAAAAAGTGTGTCACGTTCCAAAGAGTTAGTGGTTATACAATAAAATGCTCGGGCGGTTGATGTTCACATGACAATTAACAGCAGCTCCTAAATTCTAGGACGAGCTAAAAATTTGTTCGTTTCTTCAATTTCATCCTAAAAGTCGCCTAGCTCTTCGAAAACACGTCACTATCTTCGGAACTTCAGTCCTGAAAAAAAGATTTAATTCCGGATAGATAGATAATTCATAAGAAACCGAAGAGACTCCGGTAAACGTGCAAACTTTTAGCGGTTGTAAATGTTTAACGATTATCTACTGTTCTATATAATCACGAAAACACATGATCATAATTGGGACTTCGTTTAGATTTCTCTTAAATTTATACAAGATACTCTTAATCACCAAGGAATGTATATTTAAATTTAAAATCTTGTACCTATTTTTTATTTAAATCAAGTTTTAACACACTTTTTTGTCATAAAATTTTGGATTTATTGGCCAAATGAGAATCTAAATATTATACATAAATTTAAGTTCCCGCAAGGAGAAATCCTAGTTCAGTAGCTTTGATTTGTTAGTGGATTACCACCTGGTATGTGTAAGTCAAGCTTACATTTTTAATATTCGTTCAGCGCTATTCTTAGTCGAAGTTAAAATCGACATATAATTAGTTTACAAATTTATATCTATAAATTCATAGGTCGAGTTAAGACATCAATTTTTAATTTCATGGGTTGAATATTTATTTCTATAAATAGAATTTCAATATAGCGAATTCTTTTTAGGTTCGTAAAACATATAGTAACAATCAAGAATTTACTATCTATGTATCGCTCTGAAAGTAATCTCCGAGTTTTCTATGTGAAATCGGCGTTAATTGCGTACTGTACGTACTTAGTTTAATTTATCTTGATTTATTAACTTTTTGGCGTCAATGGTTGGTCTTCGAAACAATAGCGACATAGAAAAAAAAATTTTTATTTCGGGCTATGAAGAAGTTTGATAAAAATCAAGTTATAATTCTTGATATTGATCCGGCCACACACGTGGGTTGTTTGCTTCGAATTTATCCTTGAGGCTTTTATTTTTATGATCGGGTTTAATAAAAATTGTTAAAAGTATTAAGTTTGATATTGCATTGTTTATATTTGGCTCATATACAAGGTGATCAATTTTATGACGTTGGTCACGAAAGATTAATTTTTTTTTTCAAATATTTGTTTTTTGTAAATCTTTAATTTAAATTATTGAAATATAAGAATGTATGTTTTATTAAAAAACTTTCAATAATCAATATTAATATTCTTGAAGATCGTTTCAATGATTATCGTTATTATTGTATTTCTGACATTTCAATTATCGTTTTATATTTCTATCCATCACGCTCCTATCGAAAATTATTAACACAGGTCTGACGTGCCTGAAACTAGTCGTTCAAAAACAGAAACAATTATAGGGCAAATAAGTAGTACACAGGAAGTTCTACGTTCGACACTTGTAGATATTGCGAATAGAGATGAAAAATTAGATACTTTAAAGCAAAAGTCTGGTAATGTGAGGAATGTTTATTTAAGAAATCGAGGAATAGATTTATTTATAAATTTTTATTTTTCATATGTATAAAAGACAGCTTAAAAGATGCTGGTCTTAAATTTTCGGAAATTGCTACTAAAACTAGTAAAAAATTGGCAAAGAAAAATACGAAAATGACAATTATCCTAACAGTTGTAGCGATTCTCATAGTAGCTGCTATTGTTGGTAATTATAGACAAAATATTATATATTTTTTTTCGTAATCTTAATACTATTAAACTAATTTATATCTTATTTGTAAAGTTCCAATTATTCTCAAATTTACGGGAAAACTCTAAGAATACAATTTTTCATATTTAATGTCAAGTAGAAAGTAGAACGTGTAGGTTCTAAATGCAGTTTGAAAATCGTCTAAAATTTTTTAAACCTCTTATCCTATATCAACCAATAGGTGATCTATTTTTAGAAAGTTATTTATAATAATAATTATACATCAAAATAATTTTCTTTCTTTCGTAATTTTATAAGTTCAGATATGGTAGGTCTGAATTAAATTAGCACGAATGTATTTTGGTGTGCCGAAAATGTTTTCGGTAATTCATTGTACGAAAATCAAAACCAACAGTTTTTTCGATAAATGTCCGAACGAAACCCTTGAGTGCCAAAGATTTGGTGGTCCCGTGACTAGTCCAATATTTTGATATCGATGTTTATTTTTATCTAAACAATATAATTAAATTTTTGTGCTGAAAACTTTTATTCAATGTTGAAAGTTAGTTTCCATAGTAAATTTATGTTGTTTTTTTTTGTAATTTCTTGTCTTTATTTTTACAATATTTATTTTTACAGAATTTTTACTTCAGATACACATTAATCACGGGACCGCGAAATTTTCGCGTCATGATGATAAACTTAATTTGCTTTCTTCGACAAATCACAGCTATTTCATAAATTCTGGAACAATGACCAATAGTTAAGTTGTTAAGTTTATTGATTTTGACAACTTATCTATTCAGCCGAATGATAATTAGTTCTTTTTTTTTTCAATTATCTGAAAATACCTTCGACGAACTTTCAATAAAATCAATTCTATCTGAAAATGCTTTTTTCGGTAAACCCGAAAGTACATGCCAAACTTAGGTCTGAAAAGGTACTCAATACTTTGGATTTCTGATACGTAGTACTGTAAAATAGTAATTTTCATTTCAAATAAGGAATTACTTTTTTAGCTTATTACATATATTTTATTTATTTTTGCCGACAATTCTGCAATTTGATTAATCTGATTGAGAGATTATCATTTCGATAGGAAAAAATAGAGGCGGAATGTCTTTTTTTATATAGCTACTCTGATTGGTTAAAATATATTATTCGTCATATTTTGAACATCGAAGTGAATAATACGACTAGTTTTTTGTCGCAAAGAATGAACGGATACATCTTCAACGGTCTAATAAAGGTTTGACATTGATGTTACTATGCAGTGCTCGTCAGATCAGAATGATAATGTTAAAAGATTATAAATGGAAGTTGACATATTTTAATTTTTGCATTCAGATTATTAAACCTATTTTAATTAGTAATAGCGAGAGAAACATGCAGACTATGCCGCGCGGCAAATGGACTTTTCCTCATAAGTGCTTATTATATTGGCTTAGAAACGGAGGCTAGAACAATGGCTTTGTGCATAATGCAGTAATACTAAGCTTATCACGAAAATGTTCTCTTTTTAACATGTATACAAAGACACGAACTGTCATGATGAAATTATTTAAAGACGGCTTGTACCCAAACGATTAATACCTTCGCAAGTTGCTTTCAAGACTTTTGTGGCTTTTCAAAATTTTAAATAATAAGTATTTTTTAAGTGTGTTGTAATAAACGTATATTATATAAACTTGTAAAGTTATCTCTATCTGTATCACAAATGGCTTTGTTCATTTATGGCTGTGATTTATTTTATTTTTATTTTTATTTATATTTTATTCTATTTATTTATTTTTAAATAAATTAATTAAATTGAATATTGTAAAAGTTTACGCGAAAAAAAAAATTATTGATGCTTACGATCCAATCGACAGAGGTGGCAAAACTTTGATGTAAATTAAATTACTTATGAATATCATCAATAAAGAAGTTTTTGATATTTGGGAATATTTGACGATCCTTAATAATAACTTCGATTCAACGAGCTCTTAATAAATAGACAAGATTTTCCATTTGCTTTCAAAATTACAAAGATAATTTAAAAGAGGTAGATATCATATACAAATGGGATTTTACTATTGGATCGCTTTAAGAGATTACCTTTTTGTGCTGTATTATAAATAACTTTTTTGTTTTAAAATTTTACAGTTTTCATTCAAGGTCAGGTAGGTCCCGGCATCTTCTACTATAGGGATAGTAAATCTTAAAAATCATGATTGTTTAAACCTGTTAAAAAATGTTCTAATACATTATGACGTAAATGTTTAACATTATAAAATACTAAATTCAAAAAAGAATAAAAACAATGTCAATGTCTTATGTTTGTGGAAGACCCCGTTAAAAGAAATCTTACAAAGGTTGCTGAACCTGGTAATAAACATGATCACAATACCAACAAATGTAAAATTAATATAGAATGAAAAGGTTGTATTGGCTATGAGCATTTAAAAACGTAATAGCTTTGTTAAAAATCAAAGCAGTCAAATAATTATTTTTTATTTTTTTTATGTAATATCTAAATTCGAAATTATATAGCACCATCTTTTTTTTATAAAAAGAATTTTTATCGATTAAAAATTAAAATTAACCAGTCAAAGACGATATTTAGCTAAATTTTAGCATCAGACATCAATGTTTTAAAAAAAGGTTTAAAACAATAAAAAAAGTTTAAAAAACTGCTTAACCCTTTTTTTTTTTTACCTTCCCTAACTGTAGATAGTGTTACAATTGATAACGGCTCACAGGTAATGTTGGACTCGAGTCAATTTCACGGTAGAACATTAAACCTTTTCAAAAAGTATTCTTTCAAATATTTTTGACCTTTTTAAATATCTTCTAAACATTTTTCAAATCATTTAGATTACATGTGAAAGAGATATGGAAAAAATTTAGATAATATAAAAAATATTTGGAAAGGTGCATATTACGCCAAAAACTTTTAAAAGAATACTTGTAAAAAGATTTATTATTTTACTTGTGCTTGTTAGTGTGCGATATTAAAGATTACACAAACTTTAAAGGCTAATTAATAACTTTTGATCTAAAAAAGATATTTAAAAAAAAAGCTGCTATTTTGTAGCTAAATTAATTTACTACAACTAGTAACTTTATTTTTTAAAAAGTTATAAAATTTTTAAAATATATAACTTTTAAAAATATAGTATTTTTATATCTCTTAAACTATCAGTTTAGCATATAAATTTGTATACTAAAATATTTTAAAGAAAATTGAACTTAAAAAAATTTTTTTATAAAACTTTTATTCTAATTGGTTGTGGTGATTTTTCAAGGCCTGAATTATGTGACGTGTGAAATATCTCCAACCGGGTCTTTTACAATCATGTTACGAAATATACTTGATTAATCCCAGGTACAAATCATGGGGGTATGTTAACAAGGGGGCACTATTTGTTGCAAATACGGTATTAATCAATGTATTTAAGAACAATGTATACATCTCTTATTGGTATATTATCTGTGCTAATTTGGTCAATAAACAGTCACTTATTCAATTCGATTTCGCAAATAAATGTAATTGGCTGGAGCTGAGGGAAACGAAGTGGAAGCCTTAAAGCCATACTCTACGATTTTTTAGAAATGTCCGGTTCC